CACCCGGTAGGCCCCGGTTGCTATGGAGCTCCGCCCGGAAGCGCGAGGGCGGGAGAGCGGCGGAGGGCGGGAGAGCGGCGGAGGCCGGAAGTGTGTTTGCGAGAGGGGGCGGGGCTTAGGGACTGCGCCTTTTTTTGCTCGGTCACGTGGTCCGCTGGCTGGCAGGCGGGCTGACAGGCAGTCAGTCAGTCTTTGGGGTCTGGTGGGGAAAGGGAGAGAAGAGCAGGTGGGAGAGATTTTTATCCCGAGCCAGGGTAGGCAGTTGGTTTAAATGCTGAATGAGGGCTGGGGAGTCCCCACCTGTAGCCCCTGCTCCCTCAGGGTGGTTATTTGGGGACTAAAATGAGAGGATACCCCCCCTGTGATCAAATTAGAGCAGCGTTTTTCAAACTTGGCCACTTTAAGATGGGTGGGCTTATTTTTGGAAGAGATGGTATCTATAAATGGTCAGATAATGCTCAAGTTGTATAACTGATGCTCAGTATAACATTGGTAAGAGATACCAAGCAGAGCATGGTGAGTTGTCTTCATGATATCGAAAAGAAGTGTACATTTCTGAGCTTAAGGCCAACATCTCCACTATGTTGCTATTTGTAATGCTTCAAAAAAGAAAAGAAAAAGAAAGGGAAATCTTTAGCACCCCTAAAAATAAGATAACCATATTCTAAGTGTTGGCATTTACCTTGCAGTGCAAAATATAGCATGTATTGGAAGCCATTCTTGCTTAAATTTAGTTAAACTTCTAATATGTATATATGCTGTTTGTTTCACTGTTGCTGCATGTGAGTTTGTCCATGGCTTTAGTACCAAAATTGCCTTGGGTCAGCTCTGGCATTAGCCATCTCGGCTTTCCCTACCTACACGGTGAGAGAATTCTGTATTTTGACTTTTCCGCTCAGCTATTGGCAGGTGTCCCAAGCGGTCAGTTGCTGGATCTATATCTGTCAGTTTCTAGGACATTGCGGACGTTGACATCTCCGGTCAATGTCTCATTCCTTTAGATGTCCTCAGCTTAATCTTGTCCTTCTACACCCAAACTCTTCCAGATCCCACTGCTGGAAACATCAAGACGAGGAGACCTAAGCTTTGAAAGGAAAGCCAAATGCCTACATTTTCTTATGGAATGTTACTAAATTTTCTTTGGGCTGTATTTTCTAAATTTACAAAGATGAACCTGGGCTTAGGCTATTTACATTAGAAGGCAGGAGCAGATTTCCCTCTTGGTGAACAATCAGATCAAACAAACGGGACAGGAATCTATATCAAAGGTGGTCAGGTCCAAATTGAGGTCCCCCCCCCCCCAAATGGCAAGATTTCTCTGAGCTTCTAGCTTCTTTTGCGAGAATACTATCTTGTTAGTAATAATAATAGCAATAATATTTATTTACTTGCTATGTCATGTATGTTGCTCAATTCCAAATGGCCCAAGAATGTAACATCAAACAACAAAAACATTGAAACAAAATTGTAATTCTCAAAATAAGAACGTCTCCTGAAGGTGCCATCCAATCTTCATTGTCTCTAAATGCTGAGACAATGTCTTCAAGGTACTTCAGAAGCCCAACCAAGAAGGGGTGGTCTGGATATCGGGGCAAACTGTTATAACTTGCCTGTCTTCCTGCGCCTGAAGGAATTTTATATGAGAATCTCACACTACAGGATGCTTCATTGACTGACTGCATTCCTCATTTGCTTTTTATTTGAAACCAGTTTGGTCTAGCGGTGAAGGCCCCAGGCTAGAAACCAGGAGACTGTGACTTCTAGCCCCGCCTTAGGCATGAAAGCCAGATGGGTGACTTTGGGCCAGTCGCACTCAGCCCAGCCTACCTCACAGGGTTGTTGTTGGGAAAATAGGAGAAGGAAGGCGTATTAGGAGTATTAATTCACTGCCTTGAGTTATTTCGAAAAATAAGAAAGGTGGGATAAAAGAAATCTAAAAAAAACCCCCACCAAACCCTACAGATTGGGTTATTCTGACTTTTATCCCCAGCTTCAAACATTTTGTGTGGGAGGGAGGGTCTTCTCTCATTTTATCCTACAACAGCAACTGTAAGAGGTAGGTTAGTCTGAGTGGCCAAAAGGCACCCAGTTAGCTCCTATGATTGAAAGTGGGTGGAACTTAAATCTTCCCATCCTAGTTCAGCACCTTCCTTACTAGAGATGTGTGTTCATGCCAGGTCTGAATTCTGACAAAATGTGATTTGGGTCATTTTGGCCTAATGTATAGTGTGAATTCAGCTGCTATCTGTACAATGTTGGTTGATGGGCCATCCACTGTGTTTAAGACAAACTATAGACCTAAATGATGCATGAACTGGACTATCAGGGCTCAGTATTATGTGTGAATCAGACCACTGCAACTGATTCAAGGTGGTGTGTGTTTGTTTTTTTTAAATCTACCCTGTGCAATATGCCCAATGTGTAACTGGATGTTGCACCCATTTTTCCTATGCTTTTCTTCCAGTAAAAGAGCTGGAGAACTTTGAAAAGAAGTCAGAACTCGAAAACTCAGAAAGGGTGCCTGTAATATCCTGGACGAGAGCTGCATCTGTTTGGGACACTTTGTCATTTTAACCTACGCCACAGATGGAAATCTGAGGCCCTGGAGCTGCATGTAATCCCAGAATCGAGGGGTAAAATCTCCAAGCTTTCCAATGTGTATGTAATTGTAATTTTTAATGTGCAGATCTTGTACAGGGTAGGAGTTTGAGCTCAATGACCTCTCTGAGGTCATTTCCAGTTCTCGATTGTATGAAATAAATGACTGGAAAATAACTTACATTTAAAAACCTTCATTGTATTTAATGAAGATATTGAATTGATTGAAACATCTATCTGTATGGGAGTAATGACCACATTATCTTAGAACAAGAAGCAGAAAATTCAGCAGGACCTTTCCTGATTCTTGATGGTAAATATATAAAAATATACTTAAGAACTTCCAATCTGCTCCCTCTTTCTGATATGGAAAAACAATTGCTTCTGGCAGTTGTGCTCATTCTACCTATTACGTGGCCGG